TGAGATCTGTTCCTCTGAGTGGTCTGCTGTGTTTTGGCTTGATGGAAGACCAGGATCAAGGTTAAGGTGGGGAGAGATCTTCCTCCTTCTAGAGAGAATGGGCTCAGGCAGCTCATGAAAACATCCTGCTCTTGGAATCCATCATGCCACCTAATGTATAAAAAGGGAAGCAAGTGGCATGCATTGTGAAAGGGTGATTCATTATCATTATTTCCTGGCATATTGATTCTCCGCTTCGACAAGAAAGCTCTGTCACACCATCAGCCAGCAGTGACGGATGGCCCTGCCGCAAATGTGTCAGCAGCGCAACGTGGTGCCTGCTTAAACAAATGGCTGTGGGTGGGGGAGCAGCCAGGCATGGGCTGCTCCGTGGGTGCAGGGTGGTGTGGCTGCACGCCACTGCCTCTCTGGATCCCTGGGAGGGGTGGCAGGCAGGTACGGCAGTGCTCTCACCAGGCTTTCCTCGTGGAAGGAGGAATGAGAGTAGGGACAGAGTTGGAGATGTGACTTGAGCTGTGGTGAACGCAAGTGCAAGTGGTTGTCACGTAACCTTTGTTCTGTTTTTCTCCCCCAGTAAAGCTTTTGCTCATCCCTAGTTTAAGGCTCTCTGCCCCCATGCTTTCTAGAGCCACTAAAACCATCCTTGTTTTAACTGAGAGCAATGCTTTGAAGGTTGAAGTTCACTGTTGAACCTGGGAGGCGACATCTGTCTTTGGCCCTCCCTCCTGAGATCACAGAGAGGTTATTCAGTGCCACAGTTCTGCAGAACCTCACTATGGAGTTTGCTTCCCCCTTGCCAAGCCACCTCTTCCTGAATTACATGGCAGAGCATCTCTCTCCTCCCTGCTTCCCAGTATGGCTCAGTTCAGGATCTTCTCTATTATTTTCCACACACCAGCAGAGAGACAGAAGTGGGGCACCAGGTGAAACATCTCAAAAACATAGTGTCTTGCAACGGATGGTTAAGCCAGGAACTCGTTCTGAACATCAGTTCTTCCAGGAACCTACCGTGGTGGGGGAAAAAAACATGTTTTAGCCTTGGATGATGACTTTTTCTGCAGTAGCCTTTGTGCAGAGAGATGAAGCTTATGTACAAAACAGCATTTTTCATTTACAAAGGTGTTTGCTCTGACTCTGCAAAACAATCCTTAAACTTAGAATGGCTAAATTATCTTCACTGCTTCTCTGCAGCTCTGTTATACTTCTATCAAAGTTCACAAAAATGTATGTTTTAATATCCCCAGACTCTCTTATTTCCCAAAGTGTTCTTATTTGTATGTGTGCTCATCCGTATTCATCCTTCTAACACATGCAAGAACAATAGCAGAGCTGCCCTATCTCTGAATCAACGTCTCCTGAGTTGAGCAGGACAGGCAGCAGTAGCTGTCTGCAAGGTCTGCTTTGCCTGAGAAGAGACAGTGTTTGCTCCTCAGAGTGAGAGGAGGCATCTGTAGGGGAGGCAGCTGGGCAGTTGTGATGAGATTCATCACTTCTCCTTTACGGCATACCCCCTCTTTATTTTTTTCCACAGCCTCACTTACATCCTTCAGTAAAAATGATGCTCAAACATCTAGAGGAGAGATGAGACAAGTATCCTCTGTGCCTTGCTGACTGCCAAGCCTGTCTGTAGTGTGGGGGTTTGGAGTGGGTCTGACACTGCTGGAAAATCAGGACAAGCAAAACCCTCGATTGCATTTTAAGCACTTGTCTAAAACAAGGCTTAAAACAAAGTTTTCATGTAACCTACTAACAACCCATGGTAGCATCACTGTCCACCTCACTTTGTGGCTCAGGGTGCTGTTGGTCGTGGTATCTGGAGGTGTTTCATCCCTGGAGCATGTTGCTTATATTCTGTGTCCTGTGTGTAGAGGAACAGATCAAGGGGTTTTTTTATGAACCCATGTTTGACTTCACCAGGGTCCTTGTGGTGGAGGAACGCTGTTGGACAGTTGATGTGGCAACTGTAGGTGACTTGAAACAGTGTAGTGTGCCTTCAGCCTGCTGTCTTCAGTAGAGGAGGATGTGAGCAGGAGCTTTGTGTGTGCCTGAGGAACCTGTGCTGCCTCTTGTCTGCTCAAAGCTGCCTGTCAGTCGGAGTCTGTCATCTGCTTTTCATCTTGATTTATCATCCAGCATAACTAGGTTTGAGTTTCATTTTTGGGCTTGCCTCCTCCTAGGGACAGACAGATAAATCTGGCATGCAAATGTTTTAGCTCTCTGGTTCCGGGAGTGAGACTCTTCTGCTGCAGGGAGTGAGAAGAAACACAACTGTTGGGGCAGGGCTGCTCTTGTCTTCTTGGGCTGGAATTGGGAGGTTTCCAGTTTTCCCAGCACCACCTCTCTCAAGGCTCATGCATCCGCAGAGCACCAGTGCTGGGACAGGGAGAGAACAGCTTGCCTTGTTGAAAACAGTAGTAGTTTAAATCTTAGTATTGGATCATCACTCCTTGTAACTTTAATACGTTTAATTTCTGAAATAAATATTTCAGGAAAAACAAAGGCTATGAATTCTAGCTGCTTAAGCCAAAGACTTCTATCCATCATTTAGGGAATCCACAGGGGTTCTGTTCCTTCACTGCTCCCTGCCAGAAAAGCACATGTTGGGGCAGAGGAGAGCCTGTGGGTCTATAACTGAAGAGATGCTCTGAGGGGGGGGATGCCCACCTGGGAGTTCCCCTTAACTGGTCCCATTAGCGCCAGTGCAGAAAGCGAGGCTTTGAGCTAATGGTGAGAGTGAGTTTGGGGGATGGAAATAGGTCACTCCTTACACTGCTGAGCAGAGCAGGTGGAGATTTACTGTCTAGTGTGTAGGGAAAGAGGTATGAGACCCCTGCAGTTACATCTAGCCCAGGAACAGGACCAGCTCAGGATTGGGCCGCAGAGGCTGAGCACGCAAGTGAGGAGGAAAGGAACGGTCTCTCTATTTCCAGAGCTGCCTAACCTGGTTTGTCTTATTGCTCAGGGCACCTTCTCCTCTTCCTTGTAGCCTGTGCAGCCCCAGGGAGTGCAGCCAATGTCACATCACCTGAACACAGATCTTTCTGGCTATCTTGCTGCAGCAGATACTGCTGGCAAGCGTCTCCCCTCCGGGGAGCAAGGGCGGAGGCACAACAACCGTACCTGTGTTCACAGTGCCCTTCGCTTGCTGGCTTGAGTGAAGGCGAGGGGAATTGCACACCCCCAGAGCAATGAGCTGTTGCTTTCCCTATCCCTCTGTGACTGCTCTTGGGGAAGTAAATAGAGCCTGGCACATCCAGAGTGGCCTGGCCCTCCTGGTGCCGTGAAGGAACGGATCCACTGTCATCAGTCCAGTGTTCCTGGAGAGCTGTTAGGCTTACCTTGTCACTGGCAAACAGTTGGAAGCAAGAGGTTTCCTGAGGCAGCACGAGATGAAATGCAGTGTGTGGCTTGGTAAGCGTTCAGCACAAAGCTGGTGTTTGCCACAGGAAGAAAAGGAGGATTTCTGTGAGAGGAAAAACCGGGTTTCAGAGTGCTGGCGGTGCGCGGGAGACAGCGTTCAGTTGAGGTTAATCTGGGCTTGCTGGGAACAGAAGAGGCAGCATTCAGGAACTGGTCTGTAACTATCGTTCTTGGTCTTGTCGCTGGCAGGGTTTCCCTCCTCCAGCCACCTGTGTGAGGCGGAGCAGTGCCGGGCACAGAGCAAGCCCATGTCCTTGTCACCCCACTGTGAGCCTGCCCAGCTCACAGCGCCAGTGGCCAGCCTGCTGTGGGCTTGGGCACACGACTGTGCACTGCTCTGTTAATTCCTCTGTATTTATATTTATGACATTCAAAGTTGTCCATAGGAGTAATCTCAGCATTTTGTGGTTTGGTTTGGTTTTTTTTTTTTTAATTACCTGATAACTCACAGCTCTGCTCTGATGCCTCAAACCAGTGCAGGAGACAGTTCTGTTCAAGCCACAGTGGTCCATTTATTGCCAGTACCAGACTGTAAATATTGCTGCTTGCTGTCCTGCCAGGCAGGTTTTTTTCCCCTGTTACTTGTTAACTCCAGAAGCTGATGATCATCTTTCCCAGGTTGATGTGATTTCTGTGACACCAGAATTCGTTTTCTGCTGGCTTTATGTGCCATGCTAGGAATAACAGTCTAGCAGTAACTGCTTCTGGCTCAGATTTCCACCGCAGAGTAAATAAGGGCATTAGCCCAATCTCCTCAATTCATTTTTGTCCATAGCACGTTGGTTTTTGTGATAAGCTTTGTAAAATGTTGTTAGGCTTTTCCCTGACATAAGTGAAGGGTAGACGAGCAGACTTTATGCCTAGAAGTGATAAATTTTATTAGCAGTCTTTCAGTGCTGCTTTAGTCCCTTCCAGACTGGCTTCTCCACCCTGGGATTAACTACAGACAGCCTGTTCCTCCTGCCCTGGAAATGGCTGGCTGGTTCTTGCTCTATCATGCTTAACAGATCACAGGGACAGGAAAGCTTGGTAGTAGCTGCTGCTCCCGTGCATCTGCCTGGGTATGGAGGTGAGGTCTTGGAAACATTGCTCCAGTTCCGAATGTGTAGGAATAATACTGGGGTTGACTGCAGCCAGGTTTAATCTTTTCTTCCTTTAGAGGTCAGAGCTCAAACATCTCTAAGCCATTTTTAAATGGTGGTAATTAGCCAAGGTGCATGGCAGAAGCATCCATACACTGTGTGCTCAGCCAGCCGTGGTAGCGTTTGGCTTCTGAAGGGCCCAGAGCAAGCGTTTGCTGTCGGGGGTGGGAGGGTGAGTCCCTGCAGGAAGGAGACTGGAGGGAGATGCCTGCCAAAGGCTGTCCAGAGCCCACTCCCCTGTCTGCTGACTAGCACTGAGAGCAAGTCGGGATTAATTCCCATGCACCTTGCTTTTGCTGTACCACCTTCTCCAGAGATAAGGAGATGCTCCTGTGGAACAGAAGAGAGTGAGCTGGTGCCAAGACTGCTGGTGCTGATGGGAGGAGGGTCGTAAGGAGTGCAGACCTGGCCTTGACCTGAAACCTTCTCTTTCTCCAGCTTTCATCCTCATGATTATTCTGGCCCTTATCCGCATCAGCAGAGGCCAAGCTGAAGGTCACCCATCCATGGCCCAGCTGTCGGGCATCCGCAATCTCTTTGGGGTGTGCGTCTACTCCTTCATGTGCCAGCACTCCCTGCCGTCCCTCATCACACCCATCTCCAAGAAGAAGCATGTCAACAAGCTCGTGCTGCTCGATTACATCCTGATCCTGGCTTTCTACAGCCTCCTGTCCTTCACTGCCATTTACTGCTTCCGCAATGACACCCTCATGGACATGTACACGCTCAACTTCACCAACTGCAAGATCATCAACGTTGCCTTCATTCGTTACTTCCTGGGCCTCTTCCCTGTCTTCACCATCAGCACCAACTTCCCCATCATCGCAGTGACCCTGCGCAACAACTGGAAGACCCTTTTCCACAGAGAAGGGGGGACCTACCCGTGGGTGGTGGATAGGATTGTCTTTCCTGCCATCACACTGATTCCCCCAGTCCTGGTGGCCTTTTGCACCCACGATCTGGAGTCCTTGGTGGGGATCACGGGAGCCTATGCTGGGAACGGGATCCAGTATCTCATTCCAGCTTTCCTCGCGTACTGCAGTCGGAAGGACACTCAGCTGGTCTTCGGCAGCGGGACTGTTAACAAGCACCTCTCGCCTTTCCGGCACACCTTCTGGATTGTGTTCGTGCTTATATGGGGCTTTTCTTGCTTTGTGTTTGTGACTGCAAACATCGTCCTGAGCGAGTCAAAACTCTGATGTGGGGGCAGCAGCATGCTCCCTCCTGGGTTCCAGAGACTTCAGCATTTCAGCTCCCCCTCTGGGACTGTGGAGCGGGGGAGAGTCAACATGAAGGGAATTTTCCAGGCCATTGGCTTGGTGGCACAGGTTCAACCTGGGCACAGACTTTCTTCACTCCACTTTGGGTGTGGATGGAGTGGACTCAGCCTTGTTACAGTCCTGGTTCTCAAACCCTCTATACAAAGCCATGGGGCTGAGCCCTTGGCAGCCTGCACGATTACCCAGTGTCCAGCCATTTCTGCCTTCAGCTCTGTTGGAGCATCACTTTGTCTGTCCCTACAGTGGCTCTCTGTGTGCTGCGGGTCTCAGCACACAGGAGAGCAGACAGCCTTGGCTGCTCACTATGCTAATCGGCTAAATGTCCCTTCTCCCAAAGGCAGGGATGTGCTGTGCAGAATCCGGCAGGACTTTGAGATAACTGTGTCTCTTCTTTCTGCTGAGACCCCTTCAAACTAACCTCCTGGGCCAGTTGAGGGAGGATATTAGAGTGGGATTGGACCTAATTCAGAAGAAAATAATTTTGTGCTCTTTTTTTTTTTTTTTTTTTTTTTTTTTTTTTTTTTTTTTTCCTAGCGGCATTAACCTGTTTGTGCACCATGGGTTGCCTGGGATCTTTCACTTAGAGCTGGATTTCTCCAGCCCAGGAGTTTACATTCACACTTCTCATCCTGTGCTGTGGCAGCCCCAGCCAGCCAGAGCAATGCCCCTACATACGCAGGGATACAGCTCTTTGCCCTGGGAAAGGAAACTGCAGTTGTGCTTCCCTTGGCTCCTGCACGCAGCTGGCAGAACCCTTCTCCCTTCCCACCTTCGCACGGGGCTGGTACAGCCAGCCAGCCCCTGACTCCAGCGGTCAGGATTCCTGTCGGCTGGGGAGGTGCTAATTACCCAGTCGGGACACGCGGGAGGCCCGCAAGGGGTCTGGCTGTGCACACTGATGCGTTTCCAGCCTCCTGCGCTGGGTAATGAGCCTTGAAACAAGGTGGGTGTTAACTCGAGGGTATGGGCTGGTGCCAGGAGGAAGCAGCGGTGCCCTGGCTCAGCCCTGCCTGCCTGCCAGAGCAGAGCTCCCAAGTGCTACAGGGGAGCAAAAACTGAAATCCTGCTGGAACTGGGCTTGAATTCCCCTCCCACCGCCTTCTCTTTCTGCACAGGGTTATGATGGGCTTTGGGCTGGGCCTGCTACCGTGGGCAGCCAGGGCTCTAGGTGAGTCTTTGCTTCTGGTGGTCACTGTAATACAGTGACAAACAGCACTGGGTTCTGTGCTCTGAGGCCCTTGGGCAAAGGTCATGGGTTTTCTTAACAAAAGGGAGAAATTTAAAAGTTTCCACCTGAAATATTTTAAACCCCCTTATTAAAGCAAGTTCAAAGCCAGGTGCATGTCACTTCTGTTAGATCCTCTTGCCCTCTGCACTTGCTGCAGTATTAAGTGTCACCGCTCACTAAAGCAAGCTTTGAACTGCAGCTCTTTTTAATCAAGCTCTGTTTTCAAGTAGGACTTTCTGGTTTCCATATGACCTGAAGTGTTCCTCCTGGGGGAATGTGCAAGTACCTGGAGCTGTATAAAAACACTTCATGGCTTTTAAAGCAAAACCCTGCACCTCTCAAGCCTGAGCACCACCAGTGTGTCCTTGCCGAGCTGCTTGGAGAGCATCCAGGGAGGGACTGTTTGCCTCCTCCAGCTTGATCCTAAAGAGGCATTGGCAGCCCTCGCCCATGAGTTCAAACATCCCCAAGTGCTCTGGGGAAGCTGAGGAGGGGGGCAGGTAGCTGGTGTTGGGTGTCTCATTTAGAAAAAGGTGGGTTGAAGGGCAAATTCGTGGGGCAGCGGAGCTGGGAGCCACCTGCGAGGCAGCTGGGAGCTGGGCAGAGCCAGAGGGAGGAATTTAATGCTGATGAACTGAGCCTTGGGAAGCTGGAGGGGCAGTGGGGGCTGCTCTTGTGCACAAGTGCCCAGGTGGGGATTTAGGGAAGGGGCTGAGGCCTTTCCTGGTGCGCTGTCTGCCCCAGGCTGCCTGTGTTTTGCAAGGCACTTGGCTCAGCCTCCATCCCTCCCAGCCTCTTGCCTTCACATGTCATTGCCAGCCACTGAACAGGGCTGTTCTCTGGTATTTCATCTCCTCTCCTCCATCCTTCCCCTTTAGGGCTGCCCTTGGTCTCCCTCCCTCCCTTCCTGCCCCTACGTCAGGCAGGATGTCCTTGCCCATGCCTTGCCTGGGGTGGGAGCAGGGGGCCCAGCCTGAAACACCCTCTCCTGCCATCTGGTACATTTAAAGATGTGCCTTCTTGTCCCTGGCCAGGGTGGCCACCTCCTCCTCGGCACGTTGTGTGGCAGCGACTTCTAAGAGCTGCTTCCATCCAGGTTTGGGAGGCAGTGGCACGATGAGGGCTCACGTCCTGGCCCCAGCCTTTGCTGGGGTACCTTACCAAGAAGGACTCTGGTCCCCATGGAGCACAAGTGCTTCTTAAATAAATAACCACCAATTCCCAGACACCCGCTGTCCTTGCACAGCACCAAAACAAATTTAACCGAAAGAAACTCTACAGTAGAGAGAACATTTCTCATCTAACGCATGACAGCAATGCCTTAAAAATTACTGGAGAAAGTGGGAAGGGGATGGCTCAGCAGAGCCAGCGCTGGCTGGGGAGATGCTGGGTGACCCGGGCTCGGTGCGGGGCAGGAGCTCCCTCCTCTCACCCCTCACAAATGTGTCTATTTTTATTTGGCCGTTATCAACACTAACAATTCATTATTACAGATTCTCACACGATGCTTGTCCTGACTGTAACTAGTTTTCCAAAAATGGGATTAAAACCAATAAAATGCACATTATACATCTGGTTTAGTCTGGCCTCTTTTTTCACCCCCTTCTTCCTCTCATGCATGCTATTCCTGGAGGGGATGGCTGTGACTGATGGGGCTGCAGGCCAAGGAGAAATGGCAAGCGGAGAGGCTAATGGAGACCCTCACCTCTTCTTCTCTATTAGCCTCCCGCGACTCTGGGTGGTAGCTGCAAACTCAATTAAAACATCTGTACTTTCCCCTTCTCAATTACGGCTCCTTACACTTAAAACCAAACAAATTGAATTGCTCCACTGCCTCAGGCTGCAAAGGCTGTTTCTGCCAACAAATTTATTATCACCATAAAACGCAGCTTGATTTATGTTAAAATATTAAAACAGATCTTTATGATGGAAATAAACACTTTCTGCTGTGATTCTCTCCAAGGACCTCACAAGCAGCGGAGGCTTTCGGGGCTTGGGCCATAAATCTGAGATCAAACTGGCATCAGGGATGGATTTGGTCTTTTGCAGCACTTTGAAGAGCAACGGCCGGGGAAGGGAAAAATAAAAAACTTTGAGGCTGAGAGGAAGGTTTAGACAAAGCTTGCACGTCACCCGAGAGCAGCGTGTTGCTTGGAGTGGGGGGGTTTAGCTGTTTAAAGGCTTGGGAGAAGGTGCTCACGGGCCTTTCCCCCGCAGGGGTTTGGGCAGACGGGCCCTGACCCTGTTGTGCGGGTGCAGGGGGCGGCCGGGGCCCCGGGAAGGTTTTGTGCTGGGAGGGAGGCAGGAGCTGGGAGGTGGCTGCAGGTGCTGCTTCCTCCAGCATCCTTGGGCGTAGGCATGGCAACACCAGGCTGGCCCCGGACCTCTTCTGCTTTGTGATTTAACCAGCTCCCCCGGCGCTGACCCGAGCCACACTCCCCCCACAGCAGCACCGCCACATCCTTGACATCGGAAATCTCTTCCCTGTGTCCGACCCGCACTGGGCTGCCTCGTTCCCCCGTTCCTCGGCAGGATGGGTCTCGTGATGCTGAGCAACGGGAGCAGTGAAAATAATACCAGCCGTGGTGCTGGCAGAGGCAGGGGTGGGTGCCGGGGGAGGCCATCGTCCGGGGGGGGGCCCTGCCTGCCCCCCGCAGCGGGGCCGAGCCCAGGAGGCAGCTGGCCAGCAGCGAGCCGGCCGTATTTCTCTTTGCACATAAATGGCAGCCCGCGGTGTCCCAGGGCGGCAGGGGTGCCAGAGCTGGCTGAATTAAAAAGTGATGGATTAGACAATTTCACCGAAAAGAAATAATATCCCTCAGCGGCAGTTAAGCACTCAAAGTACCCAGCCCCTGCTTTGGAAAGCCCAGTCAGAGGGTGCTTCCAGGCTGCTGCTTCCCTGCAGAGCTGTCCCTGCTGCACCCCAGGGTGAGGGGGTGCTGCAGCAGCTCTTCTCCCACCAGCACCCAGGTTAGCAGCCGGCACTGGAAATGGGAGAAAACCAGTGCTCTTCCATCCCAATTAGCATATAAAGATGATCTGCAAATGCCACCACCATGGTGAGGACCTGGGGGCTGGGCACCCACATGGGGGGGCCAGGATGGCCTCAGCCTCACACCAGGTGCTGACACCTGTCCCCAGGGCCACCTCCCGGGGGGCATCCACGGAACCCCCACGTCCCCTGTCCCTTGCTGCCCTCAGCCCGCCGCAGCAAAGCCCTTCAAAAAACCATGAAGCAAATCCATTTGGCCTCTGCTGAGTCACCAGGGACATCACTAATTAATTTAAAATGTCGGTTGGGGATTGGTTTGGGTTTTTTTTTTGCCCCCTTTTCTGATCCCTTTTGTTCTTACAGCCCCAACCCCAGCTCAGGCCTGGTCCCCCCTAACCCCAAAGGTGCAGCTGTGTGTACTGGCTTCCCTGGGCCAGAAAGTCAATTTGGGGGAAAGCTCCTGGGGACGCATTGGAGCCTCCTGGGGCCCAGCCTGTCACCCCCGGGGGTGTCTGGAGCACCCAGCTGGGGAGAGCTGCCCTGGGCATGTGGGTGCCATCGCCTGGGGCAGCCCAGCAAGGCTCCCCTTGCCTTCAACCAGCTTTACTTATTTATGACTTTTATTTATATACCAGCACCTCCCTCCCTTGCCACAAGGCTTTGGCGGGGCTGCCAAAGCAATTAAGAGACAATTGCAATGATAAATAAGTAAAGGGAATTAAAGCGCCGGCATGGGCGTGTGATGGCAGCCAGGCTGGGGGATGAGGGGAGCTGTCTGGATTTAACCCCAGACAGAGGGGGTAGATGGATTGATGGACAGATGGATGGACAGACAGTGCCAATGCTTTCAACCCTGGACCACATGTGGTCGGGCCCTTCCTGACGGCCCCAGAGCTTTGCTGGTGTCCCAGAGCAGCCCCTGCCATCGTCCCTCGTTGTTACCAGCCCCGGCTGCTCAGTGGCTGCCAGCAACCCCAACGGCTGCTTTTAAATAGGAAAAAAAAAAAAAAAAAAAGTGGAGCTTCTTGGAGCAGCGGGGGGATGTTCATCCAGGCAGATGATGCCAAACCTGGGAAGAGGGGCTGAGGGTTGGCATCCAGCTTTGCCTAGTGCCGGTGCTACCCCGGGATGGGGCTGGTGCTATCCAGCAAAGCTGCTGCCCCAGGCCCCGGTGGCCTCAGCTCCCGCTTCCCAAAACCCCTCTCCCCTGCCTGGTGCTGCCGGTGAATCACGGCCCCCCCTGCCCGCACCCCTGCCAGCCCGGCAGGGAAAAGGCTCTGCTAGACATGTACAGCGAGAGTCGCATTCACCCCAGCTCATCTATCGCGCCTGATTTATGGCTCCATCAGCCCTGGGAAGGTGGGAGGAATTTTTTTTACCCTTTCTCATTCCCCCACGGCACACCTTCCCAGGGCTGCTGTGCCGCATCACAGATCCCTGCCGGGCTGCTGGTTTGCAGCTGTGGGAGCATCCCTCACCGACCCGAGCTCATGGCCACCCGCGCCCAGCACCCCAAAACCCGAGCAGGGTGCAGTAACCCCGGCTTCAGTGTTTGGCTCCAGCCTCGGCACAGGCTGATGGCTCCTCAGTAATTATCCCTCAGAGCAGTTTAATGAGTTGCCATTTCCTTTGCTTGACTGCAGCCGGTGGGACGAGCCTGTGCCAGGGCTCAGCAGGAAAGGGCTGTGAGCAGGGAGGGGGGTGCACAGGACCACGAGCACCCGCCTGACAGGGTGTAAAACCAAGGGCAGCCCCGGGCTCGTCACCGGAGGATGGAAGAAGGGTCCCCAGATGGTTGAAAATGTCTCTTTAATGACCTGGACATGGTGTTTTGAGTCCCTTGAATGAAACCAAAACATGACGGCAACACAGCGGCAATGAGTTTGACATCCCCAGTGCCAGCTCTGCCTGTGGGGAGAGCCCAAACCAGCACCCGCCAGGCTCCTCTGACCCCCCCCTAAAGCACACAGGACCCGCCGAGCCGCTTGGAACATCCAGCTGCCGGCGGTGCAGGACCCCAGGAGGCTGGAGCCCGGCCGGGAGCCGCCGGCCAACCCGTGGGGACACCCGGGTGAAGGGCAGGCAGGAGGGTGCGGACACCCCCCAGTCCGCCCCCGTCACACCTCCGACTCCAGGCTGGAGACCCGCCGCCAGGACCCGCTGGCACAGGGACTCGTCACCTCGCGGGCCACCGGCGGGTCCCTCCTCTCTGTCCCCACCACCCGCAGCAAGGCCAGCTCCCCGCGCCTCCCGCAGTCTCTGCAACCGCTGTCCCAGCGCCCGGCCCCCCGGCCGCAGCCCCCCGCCACCCCGGGGTGCTCACGAGGTGGCAGGGACCCCCGCGGGAGGTGGAGGGGCAGGTTGGTGTAGGAGTTCATGCAGGCGTACGGCGCGCACGCCGGCACGGTGGCGGTGGCACGGAGGTGTTGCCGGCAAGCCTCCCGGTAGGACGGCAGCCTGGCCACGGGCGAGCGTGGTGCCAGCCGGCCGGTGGCCTGGGGGCAGCGGGGGCCGCAGCCGTAGCCGGTCTCAACTTCGGGGAAGAGGTCGGGGACGTCGGGGCGGGCAGGGGGGCGGGCAGCACCGCAGTGCCGCAGCCCCCCGGGACGTCGCTTCTCACCCCACTCCCCGAGCGCCCTGGCCGAGCTTGCCCGCTGGTTTGGCTTCTCCCGCTCCGTCACCGTGGCCTCCGGCCAGGCCGGCTCGCCTCTGGCTCTGCAAGTCCTGGTGGCTCTGGGGAAGGCTCCGCGAGGGCAGGATGGAGGCAGGATAGAGTTGCCCACCTCCCGCCTCTTCTCCGCTGCCGAGAGCAGGCGAGGCAGCGTCCCCGAGCCCCCATGTACCCCGTTCCCCTGGAGCAGGGGGGTGTTTTGCAGCCAGTCCCCCCGCCCCCCCGGCCGCTTGTGCTCCCTGTAGATGTCCGGTGGCGGGAGGTCCCTGGGAGACGTAGAGGGTGGGAGGGGAGCCCCGACATGGTTCCCCACCAGCACCTGCTCCCCAAAATCCCCCCCCGAGGAGGTCTTCACCAGGAGGTGGGGGAAACCTGGGAGGGCTTCATCCCCCGCACAGCCACCCCGAAACTTCAGAGGGTGGAGGAGGCGGGGGACGTGCTCATTCGCTCCTCTCCACTTCTCCTCGCCGGGCAGCCGGGAGTCCACGGGGATGGGCTGGGGCAGTGGTAGCCCCAGGGGAGCACCCTTGGGAGCGCAGGCTCTCCCCAGCCTCTCAGGGGGGGCCGGGCCAGAGAAGGGGGCTCGGTGGGCACCGGTGCTGTTCTGCACCACGAGCTGGGGTGTCCTCAGGGAGAAGGTGGTCTGGAGGCGTTCGCTGCGGCTGCTCCAGTCCTCGATGGTGCGGGTGGCCTGCTCCAGCGAGCCACCCACGCTGGCCGTGGACACCATCTCCTTGGCCGCCTGTAGCATCTTCAGCACGTTGGCCTGGGCCGAGCTGGCGGTGACATCGGGGGTGGGCGCCCGCCCGGGGCTCGCCAGGGTCTGCACCCCACTGAAGCAGCTGTAGATGCCCTGTGGAGAGAAGGGGGGGGGGGACCCCCACCGTCAGCAGGGTCACTGGGGACCT